TGAGTGCGGATTAAAAAAAAAAAAAGTATGAATTCAATTGGATGGAGTATGGTCTCCGAAGGAGGGCAGTGCTGGTGATGATGTAGACAGGAACAGTCATTTATATTTTATCCTAAGATGACTAAGAAATAATTCTGCTCTAATGTGAGAGTGCAAGGAAGAAAAACACTGTGAAGACTCCAGGAAAATGGGTCCCAGGCAACTTGAGCAGAAAAGAGATTAGGGCTGATGCTGATGACAATCATCCAGTCAAAAATACTGAAATATTGATTGTTTGTAATAACTGCTGTGTTGCATCTGAGAAAGATAAGGCAGACAAGATTGAAACAGGAGAAGTCAGCTATAGCTTAGCAGAGACGGCCTATGGGACCATCTGCATTCATGAGGCAAATGGCCCTGATTATCCCCTTCAGAGATAGAACCAATGAGGTAACTAACACCATTGCTACTACCTTCATTGGCCAGACCAGCGAAATCAAGCATGAAGTCAACTTCAGTCCCACTCTCTGAAGAGTTACCATCTCTTTGAGGATATAAAAAATACTGATTGCATCTGCTAAATATTTTTTAAAAATCTGCTATATTTTTAAAAATGATTATTTTTAAATGTGTAATTTGATTAATTATAGATCACATTTGAGTTAACTACAAAAGTGTTTAATCTGACTGAAAAATTAGAAATCACAACCCTGAATTTAGTACATTGCTTCAGCTCTCACCGACAATATACATTTCTTCAAACTGTTATTATCACTGCTTACCTCCAAGACAGGCACCTATGGCTAATGCAAAGATCAGGGGCTTCACAGGTAAGTTAACCTCAGGATCTTGACTCAGATTGAGAAGTACAGGAATCTACAAAAGGTGCATTAAAATAACACATAGTAAGAGAAACAGTGGGATTAACATTAAAAATGATAACCAGTTACAGTGAAAACAAGAAGTTTGATTTCTAACTTCTTTTAAAAGTACTTGGTACAATTACCTTGGGACGAAATGAGTGCTCACATGAGCGCTCTTCATTATCTAAGTGCGTTCATCTATGGAAAGTTAGCATGCAGGGATTTTTTTTTTAAAAAAAATCCCACTGAACCTAACCACAAAAGCACACAAAATATGAGATCCAAAGGCTTGTGAAAGGCCATGGCATTCTTTTAAGCAGGTGTAGACGAGAAAAAAAGAAAAATGCAGCCTCTGATGGCTATAGCTTTAAGACCCACAATTTCAGTTAAAGCCAGCACAGAAAATCTAGCCAAAGCGACCTAGCAACAATTATGAAACTTCCTTGTATGTCTATTCTAACCAGAATGCTAAAGGATTTTTTTAAACACAGAGTTGCAATTGTTATTGCCAGCACTGCACAACCTTTTATTCTCTTTGTAGGGCAGAAATAGGAGATGGAAGTCAAAAGGGATAAAGGGGGTTGTCTGAAATGCAAAATGCACTCTAGAACATCTTCAGATCAGGGCCTGTCACTCACCTCCTGCCATTGAAGAAACTGAAACTGATACATATAAGAGGAAATCTCTTACAAAAATACTGGGTTGCCACTGAATGAAATCAGCAATTGTTTGGATTCTGTTTTCCAAAGGGTAACTTTTGTCGCATGAAAGACACACCCAATCGATAACTTCTCTGTTTATTTGACACACTGATTTTTTCTAAGCCACAAAACTCTAGGTACTTTGACTATTCTAACTATGTGGCTGTTCCCCAGTGTGCGTTAATTGCTCTTACTCCTTTATCTCCCTCCTTTTTCTACTACAGTAGCCACTACATTGCCTAAATTCTGCCTTATGAGGTTATATTTGTGTCTCAATATACTGGCTTTATTTCAAGATCCAAAATTGTAGTGCCACCACACCACAGTTTCTACCTTGCTACCATATAACTGAAATATATCTGAAATCTCAGACTGTATCCAGAAGGCAGACTTCTATGCCGCTTATATAAACACGATTTAGCTTTAAATTGGAAATTGAGGAAGCAATTCATAAGACCCACAAGCAGAAAAAAATCACAGTCAAAATATCACTACCTGCTTAGAATGGGCCTCAAGTTTTAAATCAATCAATCAAACCTGGTTATACGTGTGACTAAATATTTCTTTCTAGTTAGCAGATATTTTTCATTCAATGTAATAAATGTAATCGATTAAGATTTAATCTCAGGAGTTATTACAATACTTATGTTACCCCAGACCTGTTTCAGGTCGCACACAATATGTCAACTGACCAAAAAAGAAGAAATGAAAAATGAACTATTGAGAAAAAAATGGGGAGGGGAGAGGAGAGGAAAGGAGAGGAGAGGAGAGGAGAGGAAGATTGGTGTCTTGCCTTAAAAAGGCCCTGAGCACACTTGATCACTTACTCATCTATCCCCTGTCCTACATTTGCACAAGATCATTACAAAATACACTGTGCGTTTGAGAGCAGTGCCGAACTAGTGGGATCAAAGTAAAGCTGGAATGGGATGAAAGGCAAAAGAAACAATATGCAGGTCTGATGCTTCTAGCCTGGCCATTTTTCAGAGGATAGTAAATACAAGGAATTAAAGACCTGTTTTGTTCCCAGGCATTGGGTCTGGGAATGGTATGTCTCGATGGATGAGTATTTTCCCCTGCACTTATGTGTTTCTGTGCTGCTTGTTTGGATTGTGTTTTTATTCTTTGTTTTATTATGTGTTTTTTTATGGATTGTTCTGTTTTTGATTATGTATATCACCCTGAGTCTTGTTCTGAGTAGAGAGGCTATATACCTAGGTATGTATGTATGTATGTATGTATGTATGAATGGAATGGAATGGAATAGAATAGAATAGAATAGAATAGAATAGAATAGAATAGAATAGAATAGAATAGAATAGAATAGAATAGAATAGAATAGAATAGAATAGAAAAAATCTAATGTGGTCCTGATATACTTTCCTTCAGACCACAGAACTTTCCTTGAAATCTGCATATTAATAAAACAATGCTTGTGCCTAGAATTTTTTTTTTTTTCAGCCGCAGTTCTTCCCACTCCAGTAGTATGCTGGCCCCTGGCATCTATAGGGAAGGGTCAAAATCATCAAGATGATGGATAGAGATTTATGATATAAATTCCACTCTTTTCTAGTGTATCACCATGCACATTCAGAAGGGAGGGGCTTGCATCGCAAAGCTTTGTCCACCATCTCACTAATTTTGACACACACAGGGGCACACCCACACACACACCCTGCTGATGCAGGTCACCATTCCTATGCACTTTTAGGCTCCAAGGGAAGAGCTTTTCATTCACCCCGGCCTTTCAAATAACTTAAAAAAAAAAAGTTAGGTTGTTAAGTGCTGTGATTATCTACCTCTCTACTTTCCATTCTACTATTGTCCTTTTATATTGTATTTGTACTGAATTTCAATTTATCTCATGGGCTGCCCTGACAAGGAAGCCTGATGCAGTCAGCAAGCAAGGCTAGAGAAAGGTAAATTTCTGTTGAATATTAGGAGAAACTTCCTAATGTTAAGAGGCATTTGACAGTGGAACCAGTCAGCAAGGGAGATTGAAGAAGTAGGCGAAGTTTGGGAATACTTTCATTTCTCATCTGTTGGGGGTGCTTTCATTTGTATTCTTGCTGGTGCTTCCATTTTCTCCTTCAAGGTGAATTCAGTTCCAGGTGACAGAGCCATGCAGCTTCTTCTGTTACATATGAAAATATTTCTCCAGGGCCTTCTAGGATGTTTGTTGTGTTTCATTTTATCCTCCATCATTGGGTGTCCCTTCCAAGAGCGATTCAGCTCTGATCCTTTTTGAGATCAGCCAAGTCACCTAGCTGGGAATCTATGAAATAATGAAACTAAATCAGTAGGAACTCCGTGAGTGGTTTTTTTTTCCTTTTTAATAAAAGCCACAACAGTGAAATGACTTTATCGCTTCAATACTGTCAAGAAGTTCCTAATGGCTCAGTTGATCTTCCCAAGAACCCTTTGAGGTAGGGTGAAAGAAAGAATAACAGATTCAAGGCTGCCCAGTGAGCTTCAGGGCTAAATAACAACCTGAACCTAAATGATCAGACTCAGATATGGGGTGTTTGTCTTAGCAAAACCATTTTCCTCTCTGCAAAAAAAAAAAGGGGGGGAGTCTCTTTTAAAGAAGCATTGCAGCGATCCATGGCTGGTAAGTACTTGCATTAAACTGATTCCTTAATTGATTGGGAGCCTTTAAGTTAATTGGTGAAGAAGAGTTGATTAGCTTCCAGCAGGAATTTGTTGGCAGGATATCGTTCTGCTTTGTGTTTCTTTGGTTTAATGCAGTGTTCCAGCCTGCATCGGTTTATTGATCTCTTCTCTGCTGATGTCTGCTTTTCAGGATGACGTTTGCTGCAAAATTGATGTCAGGTGTTCTCTTTTCTAGGCACCTTGTACGGCTTGGAGGAATTGAAATCCGGCAAGCAGTACACAGCTATCAATCCTCATTTCACGTTGCTTAACACCTTGGCAGTGGGGGGAAAGGTTCTGGCAGTGCTGCTCTCCAAACAAATGTTTTTGTTCATGCTACACCGGTTCATCTTCATTTAATCTGATTAAGTGAAATTCCATCCATGTAACTAGCATTCCCAGGAAAGGAGGCTGGAGAATGACCTCTGCAAATGCCTTTTTTTAAAAAAACAAACTATTTTTTACTAAAAGATTTTAAAGAGATTTAAAAAACGACGGAAACATAAAAGAAGAAGTAGAAAAAGAAAGACATTGTAAAAGAGTGTCAGAAAAAGTGAAGGAAAATAAGAAGGAAAAAAAAGTAAGATATCTAAAGAACCAACTTCCGATCTTCTTTGCAGCAGTTACAACATTGCAGTGACCATCTCCACCCTCCCATATTGCATATCATGGTTCCCTTCCTCCCACAGACAAATCTTTTAATCAATAAATCCTGAAATCACCAATTCATTTTTATCCATTTTCAGCAAAAAGTCCATAAAGGGTTTCCAGTCTTTTGTAAAAGTAGTTGAATTTCCCTCCTTAATCAAACAAGTCAATTTAGCCACTTCTGCAAACTTAACCATCTTCACAAGCCATTCCTCCATTATTGGTGTTTCTGTAGTCTCCCATCTTTGTGCACATAATAGCCTCACTGCAGTTACCATATAAAAAACCAATCATCCATGAGCAACCTCTGCAAATTCCTGGGATTGTTTTGCTCAGTCCAGAAGTTGCTACATTGTTTTCTGGAACAATGTACAGGTAGTCCTCACTTAATGATCACAATAGGGACCGTAAAATTGGTTGTTAAGCAGGGTGGTTGTTAAACGAATCACCATG